AGAGTGTGGTTGTTCATGGCTGAAGGTCTCAGGCTCCAGTCTGGAGGGGGGAGATGAAGACGAAGCTCCTCACACCTTCTGCCCTGTGTGAGGCCTGGCTGGGGGACACTCCATGCTCCCCCATCTCTTCCTGGCCAGTGCCTCACCCTGGGGGGACCACACCCTGACCTAAGGCTTTAAGGGGGGTGATGAGGTGACAAACTGGAGCACAAACTTCAACCAAAGCTAGGCTTCCTCCTGCTTGAAGGTCCTGCATGGGCAGATGCTGCCCGTTGACAGAGAGTCTTCAGTGGCACCATTTGGGTGTCATTACCTCCTGCACACAGAAATATGAAATATATCCTCTCACACAGAAAACAAAAAATTCAAAAACATCATGATTTTTGGATTATATGGTTTTGGTATGGCACAGACATTTTCCTCTTAATCATGTTCTCAATCCCATGTTGAATAAATAATCTTGTTTTCGTGTCAAAATTGAGACTTAGTTGCTCGCATATGCAGAAGCTTAAGTTTTGGCTGATGTTCCACACACTTCAACACCTGTTAGTTTTACTTTGCTGCATTAAAAAGAAATACGTTGCACTCTCTTGGACTTGTAACTTTTTTTTCTGAACTTCATGCATAGTTAGCTTTAGGTAATGACTTTTGTCAGTGCTTAAACTAGTTTGTAATATCCAATTCTACATTCAAATGGGACATTTTCATTAAATATTTGATTAAAGGTTCATTAAAATGGGTCGGATCTCAGGGGCTGGAGTTAAGAAATCCACTATCTGTGGAATGGAGGGAGGAAAAGTACTGAGGAATTGATTACTTGGTCACCAAGCAAAAAAATGTGTTTCACCTCTTTCAGTAGTAGGAAGAAAGCCAGTTCACAGCCTGAAGAGCTTTTACGTGTAATAAATCATATTTTGAGGGAAATGCTGAAAAGAGGTTTTATTTGTCCCATGATGAAGTTATTTAGTTGCAATATAAGAGAGGAGTTGGATTTTTTTGTTTGTTAGTTAAGTTCTTAAAGGCAAACACGATAATACTTGTTTAGTATTGCCCCTAATGGCCACAAATGGGATTTTGACATGGAGAATCAAGAGAGAGAACAAATGTATCTTACTACAGCACTGCACCACTTCAAGGACCAACATTCTAATTTCACTCTAGTTCAGTCACCGTGGGACAATTTCAGTGAGCAGTCATGATCTGAAACACAAGCAGTTTCTGAAAATTAGAGAGAATTGATTATTTTTAAAAAAATTAAAATCTTATAACTGACAGTCCTAAGGAAGACAATATAAAATAAACAGCTTATACTAATGTCTGCCCAAGAATTTCTTGTTCTGCATTAATTTTTGATTTGTTTTGTTTGTTTGTTTATTTCTGCAGGCAATTTCAAGGCCATCTAGATCATTAAGTACAGCACAGCTAGCACACATATCCTGTGGCTCACAGGCTTCAGTAATCTCAAATATTGTATTGATGAAAGGACAAGGAAAGGTAAGACTGGCTCCGTTGATTTACTATAGAGTTTGATATCATTTCACAAATGCAATCTGCAAAGTTCAAGGAAGCAACTTCAGGTATTAAGATGGCTACTTGTGTGTTGCCAGTCCATAGCCAGGGTTTGCCAGGAGTGATTAGTTGTCATTCACTTGCTTCTTAACCTTCTGAAGTAACTTTTTGCTGAAGCACAGTCTTCAGGTTCTAATAACACATCCACATCATGCTAGCAACACTAACACTGACATCCAGTGCTGCCTTTTTGACAGCTGGAGGTGGGCTTCAAATCACAGACTGTGTCATCCACAAGTTTCACTGGCACAGCAACATCTGAGCTTCCTCCAAGTCAGAGTTAAGCCATGAAGACAGTTCTGTTGAGAAGGAAAATAAGAGCTACCAGGAATACATAATAAAAAACAATAAACATTTTCAAAAAACACAATCACGTCTGGAGAAAGACAGAAGGTAGCTATCTGTGAAAGTAATGTCACTGAAGATGCTTAAAAAGACAATACAGAAGCTTAAATAAACAGCTTTTGAACTTCTTGAATAAGGTTCTGAATTTGTTCCTTAATAACCTTTTCAGTTAATTTAATTTATATTTTATTTGTAACTACTCAAGCTGTGAGGTGAATCTCAGAAATCATTCAACATAGTATGATCATCATCGTAATTTACAAAATAATAATGTGTCGTCTGCATTTTGGAAGCCTATGAGGATTTCATCAGCACAGCACTTTCACTTTTCATTTGAGGGATTTAAAAGGCTTCTGAGGTGTGAGTTAGTCTTGTAACATCCTTCTAAGTATAGTCAGTAATGTTTATAGAATTGGAGCAAGAGTGAAAAATAAGAAGTTGAGAGGTATCCACCTACAAAGGTCTGTTGGTGTTGCTCAAACTTAAAACAGGCACTAACTCTGGTAGAGGGTAAGAGAGAGATATTCCCATGAGATCTCCATCTGTGTGTATGAAATTAGTAGTAATATCAAGATCTTTTATGGTGGTTTTGAGCAATCTCATTTATGGGAGAGGAAATTGAGTAGAATAGGTCAATAAATATTTCAAGGCTGCTTATTAGTTCAAGGACCAAAAAAAAGAATCTAGATACCTTCCTATGTGTTTGTAATAGTGAATTCATGTTTGCAACAAACAAAAAAATAATCATGAGGATATTCCACTGGAATTTTCATTAGCTTTTACTACTGGCTTGTAGTTGACTGCTTTTTTATGAATTATATTACTCTGTTGACTAGTACTGCCTGGGTAGGTCATACAGAACAAACTGCCAATGAACTATTTATGAGAACTGAACATGGGCTCTGACACACTCTTTTTCTTCCATAAATTAGGGCTTGGGCTTCAGTATTGTTGGTGGGAAAGACAGCATTTATGGACCAATAGGCATCTATGTCAAAACCATCTTTCCTGGTGGGGCTGCTGCTGCTGATGGAAGGCTACAAGAAGGTGGGAAATCCCTCTTCTCTCCCTTTACCCAATCAGGTTCTCAAAGAATGATATCTAAAGGCAGATTAAAGCTAAAATTAGAATGAGCTATAGGTGACTTTCACACCTACATCCTTTATTGCTTTTGCAAGATCCTTTTTGAGTACATGTATCATGTAACTTATTGCACATAGTACCATTTTTCTCTTTAAAAACAGGTGACGAAATCCTGGAACTGAATGGAGAATCCATGCATGGATTAACACATTATGACGCTTTACAAAAATTCAAGGTTATGTACTCTCCTTCCAGAACAATTTGTATCTTTACATACCACATGCATGTGAACTCAAACCATTCAATTCATTATCTTTTCTTCCTAGCAGGCCAAAAAGGGTCTTCTGACACTTACAGTCAGGACAAGCTTCAGCACACCTCATTCTGCTTCCAGCTGTCTGTCACCCCACTTGTGTCAGTCACTGAGCTCTAGTACATGCATAACCAAAGAAAACAGCTCTTTCAGTTCAGACAGTGCAGCATTCTCACTAAATGCTACAAAGCCCAACGACAGGGTCATAATGGAAGTTACCCTAAACAAAGGTAAGTGCTGAAACTAACTGAGCGCTGGGAAACAAAGCACTGATTGACAAAACTCTGTTCATTTGCTCTCTGAATGTCCTGTCTTTTTAATTTGATTCTTTTCCTGAACTAAGTTTTTTTAATACACTAAATTAGATCTTGGTGCCTGTCAGTGCTAACAACTATCTATCAACAGCAGGATTTTGAACACCATCTGTCCTCAGCAGCCAATCTTTTTTTTTTTTTCCACTCAAGCATTAGAGTCACATTCATATCTTTCATGTGAAAAAGTAAACCTCTTGGCAACAACTACCAATTATTAAACAGATTATGCAACTCTAACCCTTAATTATACAAGCAGTTCATTTCATTGTTGAAAAGGCTTGAAACAAAAATTACATATCTTCTTGTAGTTCTTTCACCTGCTCTCTCCAACTGTCATCATCTTTTATTTATAAACAACTCCTAGAAGAATGAAAATTTTAAATATAGGAAGACCAAAGCAACCAACAAAACAAAGTCTCTATGACGTAACTTTGCAAACACACAGTATGGGATCTGACATCAGAGAGATTGTCCAGAGCAAACAGGCAAATTCATGAAAATCTTGAGCTGCATTATAAAAACCAGAAAGGGAATTGAAATGATAAATCAAGCAATAGCTATGCATCCTTAATTTTGTTTTGTTCCCTTATTTTTTTTCCCTATTCTGCCTCCTTGAATTCTTCTGTAATGACAGATATTTTGCAAAATAGACTGGTGTGTCTCTGACACACTAGTAATGAATTGCAAATGAAATCTTGGAACTCCACAAGCAATATTGCTGTGCACTCACTTTAATCATGAGGTGAAAGAATAAATAGAAAGAGAAAAAAAAGAAGCAGCAGGGGCGGCAGCTAATATTAAAAATAACTCATGAACATGAGGCTTTGGTTCTTGTCTGCAAAGAAAAAAGTTATTAAATTGAATTGAAGACAGTTTTCAAAAAGCTGTCTCCAACAATTTGTTTAGAATGATTCTTATATCTTTTTTTTTATCAATTCTTTCAGAGCCAGGTGTTGGCCTTGGAATCGGGTTATGTAGCATCCCTTACTTCCAGTGTATTTCTGGGATTTTCATTCACACTCTCTCCCCAGGCTCAGTGGCACATATGGATGGGAGACTCAGGTAGGATGAGAAAGCGTGTCTATCTCATGCCACAAGTTTTTCCTTGCTGTTTTATGGCTTTATTTTTGACCTGTTTGGGCAGGAAGTCATAGTGCTTTCTGAGAGCTTTGGGTTTAAAGCATATGCCATATTCTGGAAGCTTGAGCATGTGTATTTAGCATACAGGGGACTTCAGATATATAGCAACACAGTGAAATTATTGTCTCTTGTCCATGCTTGACTAACTCTGAAGGTGTTAGACAAGCATATAGCATTCTTTCTGGAGGAGATTTCCAGATGAGAAAGTATCTGGAAAAACCCAAACATACGTCATAATCTGGCTTTTTTGAGCACTGTTTTTTTTCCCAACATAACCTCCTCAAATTTTATTCCTTCTTGCCCAATAGAAATACAAATTTGCTGAAAGGAGCTTTAGTGGGAGTGTAGGTATTCACTTTGTAGAATTTATGACCAATTAGTAGCGTGGAACACATTTAGAACTGAACAGAACACAATAATTTTGGTGAAGGCTTTTTTATTTAAATTTAGGTGCTCTGTAACCCTCTTCTCTACATGTCTAAAATTTTAGCTGAAAGGCTGTCACCTTAAACTATTTGAAAGTTTGTATGATCCAAATCAGTGCCTCCAGTCAGCCTTGCAGTAGAATAGAGAAAGGCAGTCTCAGTTTCCATGTAGGACAAATTTGGATTTCATCTAGAAAGATTCAGTCTAGCAGGCAGCAGGAGTACAATAGTTTGCCATTAGATTTTTTTCTGTTAAGAAGTTATTCATATGTAGCAGAAACACAACTTCCCTTCTGACCGTAAAACCGTGACAAGTGAAAGGAAGGAAGGAAGATGTAGGTGGAAGCAGCAGCTGAGCTGCATACAGCAGAAAGCTCACAGGTGCAAAGTGTGTGTAGGTGAACGTGAAGAAAGCTCAAAGGTTGCATGCAACAAGGCAATTAAATCAAAAAAGCCTTAATGTCCAACTCATTTGCATTCCATTTTCTGTAACAGGAACAGAGACACATAGTGATTTAATCTATGATCAAATTAGAGGTCAACCACGTGAATTTGCTTTTTGTATGCTTTCACATGTGTGAAACAAGGTTGGGAGAAAATCTGTTTTGTTTACATACTCAACTTTTTTTTTTTTTATAATATCTCTGTAGGTGTGGAGATGAAATCATTGAAATTAATGAAGTTTCAGTACAAAATACAACTCTTAATGAAGTTTATGCTGTGCTAAGCCATTGCAATCCCGGTGCAGTGCAGATTATTATTAGCCGACACCCTGAACCACAGGTAGCACACTCTGCATTCTTTCTGACTTTCAGTAAAGCACATATTGAGAGCTAAGATTAAGTGAGGAGCAGGTGCTAATCTAAAACAGGTGGGAAAATGTTGGTAACAAAGATAGTGGTCTCTCTATAAGCAACATGGCACACAAACAAACCTGAGATATGCATACAATCATGAAAGATTTGAAGATGGATGAAAAGAGTCTTGCATGAGTTTCTGTGCTGTGAATAAGGGAATTACAGAAATAACATTTAAGGAATAAACCAAAACATGTTTCTTATGCAAAGAACAACTCCCAATAATAAGAAAATAATTTGAAAGAGAGAATGTACCCCCTGAAAATGAAACAAATATTTCTATGTCTGTCTTTCTGTAATGAAAACTTAGGTCTTGCAAGGTTTTTCTACAAAATGCTTCCTGATATCAAGTACTGTAGAAATAATTGTCAAGTTGAAATTGTTGCACAAATTATCATAAAGACATTGGTTAAATTATCTTATACTAGTAAATTCAGAACTCCACTTCTAGTGAAATATGCAAAACAATGTTTATCTTTGAAAGTTCTCATTTTATCAAATGACCAATATAAACAGCACATCCATAGATACACTTCACCTATACTGGAATACACACAGATATCATGGTGTGCACTTGGTGTGCACTGAACTTTAACATTAACTGATGGGTGATATAGCTAGATCTATTCATTTCCATTAGAGGACTTGTAGGACTTGGAAATTTTTGTGAAAGGAACATATGCTGCTCAACACCCCACAGCAACCTCACGAGCGTATAATGGCAAAATATTTTCTAGGTGTCTGAGCAACAGCTAAGAGAAGCTGTTGCACAAGCTGTGGAAAACAACAGATTTGGAAAGGAGAGACACCAATGGAGTACTGAAGGTAAGGTAGTATGTGCATTCACTGAGACATTGTCATTGAGTTAAAAGATATATAGGATGATTACCTGCTGGGTAAGAATCCTTGGTAACAGTGAAATAACACAGAGTAGAAAGGATGAGGAGAAAACATCACAGGACAATGGTACTAACATGCCTTCTATGACACATTACTGCAGTATTGTCATGGGTTAGGGCTGGGCCGGCCTCT